CCCTGGAGGCCGAAGATGGCGAAAAACCTCCCGTCGTGATTCTGCGGCGATGTTCCGACTGTCCGGATAGATTTGCGGATGCCACGACAATGGACACCATAACACCATAACAGTCCTCTCATCGAATTACACATGTATTGAAAATGTCAGAAGAATGTCACGAAAATGTTTGAAGCATGTTTTGTTTAAACATTTTAGAAACAGCTTAACACATGTTCTAGACATCTGGAAATGATTTGGCATCACGCTTCTTCTCCATTCATCGACTTCCACAAGGCTAGTTTTAGGTCGGGCCTGTCCCCCTGCAGAGGGATGTTGGGCGAAAAATCAAAAATACCCCCAAAATACAAAACAAATGCTCAAACATGGTCAAACAGTAGTCCCAGGACTATATATGTTTTATCTATGTTTGAATAGTCCCCCTGCAGAGGGACAGGCCCGACTTAAGGCTAGCTGCTCCTCGCCCGCGGCGCTTGGCGTTACCAGCCTGGAACATATCCCCATCCCTAAGCTGGGCATCGCCTCAACACAATGCCAATCTTTGGGATTCCCGCAGTTTTTCAGGGCGCATCCCTAAGATTGTCATCGCCCTTTGGCGGGTCAATCTTAGGGATAGGGATACGTTCGAGGCTGGTGATGGCGCCCCCCCCCCCCGAGGGGGCGTCGCCGCCGCTCGCCGGGGGCACCCGCGCGGGGCCGGCCGGCACCCACGGGAGGCCGCGGGCGCTCTGCGGCCGCAGGCTGCGCAGCGAGCTGCTGGCGCTGAGGGCGGGGCTGCGCGCGGTGGCGGGGGTGAAGAGGTGCTGGTCGAGGAGGCCCAGAGCAAGGCACCGAACTCCTGGCCATCGCTCGGACGTCCATTCCCTGTTTTTTTGCTCGGTTCCGTGCGTGTTTTTTTCGCCAAATGGTCAAGGATGCTCCTCGATGGTCCTCGCCGAAGGGAAAATGCACAGGTCCGAGCGATGCCAAGACTCTATACACCGCACCGACGCTTGTGCCGGCTCTGCGCTGGAGCTCTCACGAGAAGGCGGGCCCTGGTGTATATACGGGGTCCTGGTGTGCACATTTGTCGTTGTTTCCCGGGGGCAACGGGGTTGGTTGAGGAGGCCCAGAGATCCGGTAGAGGGAGACAAGTAGTAAACACCCCTCTGCCCCCCAAACTCAAAGCTGGCAAGCGCGGGGGGGACTGCGGTCGCGGTGCAACTCATCAGACCCACCGCCAACTTTGAACATTGGGGGGAGGGGGAGGCGTTGACAGATGAATGTGGTATGAGTGTTCGCTATTTTTTTCCGAGGCCTGTCCGAGGGTACCGTCGGACCCAGACCAGAAGAGCATCCCCGAGTGCTGGTCGAGGAGGCCCAGAGATCCGAAGGTACCGTCGGACCGAGACCAGACCGGGGGGCCCCAAATATACACCACCACCACCTCCCTCCCCACCTCCCCCTCGCTGGAAACAGGAGAGGGGAGGGATCGACGTGGTGGTGGTGTCTGTTCTTTGGGCCCCCACAGAAGAGCACCCCTAGAAGAAGGAGAAAGAAGGCCATGAACGTGAGCTTGTGGCGCTCCGCGCGGAGCTCTCGGATCGGCGCTGCCCCCCCCCCCCCCTCCCTGGCGCATGGAGCGCGCCAGGGGGGCCCAGCGCCGATCCAAGAAATCCGCGCGGAGCGACAAAAGTGTACGTTTATGTGTGTTTTGTTCTTCGTCGAGATCCCTCAAGAGCATGACACCTCCATCGGCCAAAGCACACGGAAACTCCGAGGGTAACCTCCCCAGGATGCACAAGAAGATCCAGCGAACACGAAGATATAGCTCGGTCCGACTGTATGATTGCTCAATCTAGCGTTTTCTCCTGGATGTCGGCCTCCCGAGCCCGTCATCGGGCCCGGGGGCCATCAACAACGGATCCAGGACGGAAAACCGCTCCCTGTGCAATTCACAGCCCCGAGCCTGCCTCACTAGAGCCTACTTACGACAGATGGCCTCTAGAGGCCGTGCGTGATATAAGCTTCAGGCTCCAAAGGAGCCCCATGTATGTTAGCCAAGCGTTTCCCGGCGAATCGGGTCCCTTAAGACTCCAGGTTTCAGCAAGCCTTGCTTAGTAGGCACTCCGTTTCCCTAGCAACAAGTTGCAACAGATAATTCAAACAGAACAGGTTCATCCGAAACCGTTCTGGCTCAAGCCTTTGCAGCGTCTCAGCGACGCTGGACTTCTGGTGTGCGTCTGAGAGACGCAGGACAGCGAACTGCCCGCTGATAAACAGATCCTGTTCATCACCATAGTGCGATCAGCATCGCACAGTCACTGCCCTCATATTCGACCCGTCTTGCGACGAGTTCAACACCGCCAACGGTACCCTCGACACGTTGTCAGAGCAGAGAAGAGAGTAGCATCATTCAGGATTGCTATCAGGGCAGTGGTTCTAAGCGGGACCATTGCATGGTAGCGGAGCTATCAAGCTCCACGGACTACAGATTCACGGATATAAGTTCATCGTTTGAGCCATGGCGAAGAACAACAATAACAACGATGACATCGTACCGAAGTGGAACGGAGATCTCACCACGGTGGACGATTACGAGAGACGTCAAAGCTTACATCCGAGGAACCCGTCGAGATGAACGATATGTATGCGGCCCTCGTTTGTGGAGACGACTGGAAGGTCGAGCACGACAAGCAGCCAAGGATGTGGACTGGGACCGCATTGAGAGAGACGACGGTGCAGCTGAGCTACTGCGACACATTCGTGCCAAGCTCGGAGCTCAGCCCATCCAGGATGCAGGCAAATATCTGGCCCGATGGATCTTCGATCTTCGTCGAGACACTGGAGAGCCAATGCCGAGCTATATAAGCAGAGACGATGAGGCCTACCACGACGTGGTCAAGGGTTTCGACACCGAGTATTTCAAGAAGCAGCGCACGGCCCGGCTGTCGGAAAGGTCAAAGGAGTGGAACACCCTCTACTCGGAGCTCAACTGGTTCTTGTACAAGATCGAGCAGGAGGGCCCGGAGGACGCCGCCGACAAGGCCAAGGAGTTGAACTACCAGCTCTGGAACTTCATCAAGACTGGACTTGAGGAGATCCCCGAGCATCCAGATTTCGGAGCCGACTTCAACCAGGCGATTCCTCTTGACCAGCTGCGCGGATGGCTACTGCTGCAGAGATCAAGACTTTCCCCGACGGAGCGTGCGGCAGTTATCAGCGCAGTCAAAGGCAACTTCGACTACGACAGCATCGGCGAGCAGCTACGAGTATCTTGGCCAGATGACGAGCTGACGAACAGAGATAAGAAGCACGGCAAGGACAACCATCGCCATCGCGAGCGAGGTCGGATCCATGCCGGCTGGGAGGAGAACAGCGAGGACGACGACGACTACAGCTACTACGATGGCGACCAGTCGGAGGCCACCTATGAGGACGCGGACGGCGACGAGGACGAAGGAGATCCCGAGGAGCCGCTCTACAGCGCCCAGGAGATCGAGGAGGCCGAGACCGCGTTCGCCGCCCAGCAGCGCAGTTTCGAAGAAGCTCGAGATCTACTCCGACGAGTGAAGACCGCCAGGAAGTTCTACCCCGTGGATGAGAACAAGAAGCGAGAAGGACGCGGAGCACAGCGCAAGTTCCAGGGACCTCGAGCTGGATCCCGAGGCTCTGGATCATCGAAAGGACGAGGCCGAGGGAGCGGACAACGACGCGATGTACCACCCCGACGTGATGGAGATCGCTCCCAGGGCCGGCCGCCCCGTAAGGGACCCTGTCTGAAGTGCGGCGGCAATCACGAGACTAAGGATCACCGAGACCGCGCTTCCTCCACCGGCAGCAAAGATCGTGAACGACCTAAGCGAGGTTTCGGAGCCTACGTGTTCTTCGGCGCCGAGCAGGACGCCGAGATGGAGGCGAATCTCATCAGGAACGAGACCTCGCGCCTGGAGCTGGAGACGACGCTCAACAATAAGCCAGTGATCAAGATTCGACCGAAGCTTCCGAAGAAACAGCTCGAGAAGACGATGTACCTGGAGGCGGAGAAATCCATCGAGAGGCGAGGGCAAGTCCATCATGTGAAACTACCGAGCTGGCCAACCCTGGAGAAGCTAGACGACTGGATCCTCATGAGTGTGAAGCAGAGCTCCTCCAAGGGCTTCGGTATTCTGGACATCGGCGCGACCTCCAGCATCATGGGCATCGAGGCTGCCGAGAATCTACGCGATATCATCTATGAGCAGACGGGCAAAAACATCAAGATGGACGTTAGCCAGAAGAGTACCTTTATCTTTGGAGATGGCAACGCCAAGACCTGCACCGGCAAGGCAACCTTCCCTCTTATGATCGCCGGTGGACGGCGAGCTCGAGATAAACATCCTCGACGCAGATGCCCCGCTCTTGATCGGAGTGGATGTTTTGAGCCGCCTAGGAGCTGTGATCGACTGCGAGGCGCATTCTGTCTACTTCAAGAAGCTCGGGCGCCGAGCTGAACTGCTCGTCCTTCCGAGCGGTCATCTTGCACTGCCACTTGTTCGACAAGCCGATTTTGGCTTCGTGGCATCTCTCGAGTAGGGGTCCACGCCCTCGACACCCGAGACTGCTACGGTGCCGGAGGGAAAACATGAAAAAGAGCAGCCGATCAAAAGCGAGAACGATAAACCGTCTGCAGTGGTGCCCCAGGAGTTCCACGACGAGGTCCCAGATAATGGAGCCCTACAGGCCCCAGGTACATCATCATCATTTACGAGTACGGGGGCACCATCACCAATTACGCCTACAGCAACGACATCATCAATTACGTCGGGGACATCATCACTTACGTCAGGGACATCATCCGTATCAGCCCCGACTCCATCACCTACGGCATTATCGGGGTTATCTCCAGAGGCCTTCCCTGAGATCCCAGAGTTTCCAGAGCTCCAAACAGAAACATCCCCGTCTCCAAGAGCCATTTTTGGTGCGAACGATTCGAGCTCAGAGCTCCGATTTCAGCAACCAGCTATTCTTCCATATTCGAGCCCTGAGCTCCGACAACATCCAGTTTGTCCTACATATTCGCATGAGCCTCAACCGCGAGGCGAAATGTCGCAAAGCAGAGAGCCAGCAGATCAAGCTGGAGAACGAGGAGATGGATGGCCCATGGGAGCAGGTGGATGTTCGGGCCCCGCTACTGGACTCGGGATCATCGGCGACGACCTTCACGTCGACGTCGGCAAGGCCTACACTACAACGGATGCAGCCGCAGGGGCGACTGATCGCTCATCAGGACGTGAGGGGTCACATCTTCTACACGGTCGAGGGCTCGGAGCTGGACAACAGCATGAAGCGGATGACGGACACCTTCCTGCAGGAGCACCTACCGAACTGGGAGATGTGGTCCAGCAAGCTCCTCCAGCAGTGGACGCAGTGCCGTCGCTGGGGACGAATCATCCAGAAGGTCTTCATCAAGACGATCGACCGTGTGAACTGGAAGCTGGACAGCCTCGGACTACCTGTGCAGTTGCTACCCGAGAGGTACCCGACCTGGCCGGCGGACATCGAGCATCGTGCGAAGATCGAGCCGTGCCAGCCGTGCACGGAGCCGAAGCAGCGCCCCCTGTCCCAGAAGTCAGCAGCCTCAGCAGCCGCGCGCGAGCAGAATCAAGAGCTGCGAGCCACCATCGAGACCGCAAAGTCAGATTTCTTGACCAAGTTTGCGGAGGTGGATGCGTTTGCAGCGCTGAGCTCGGAGCAGATCCACGAGCAGCTCAGCATGGTCACGTTGGTCAACCATCTCAAGCCGCTGTGCAAGATGTGGGGACTGACCCAGACTGGCAAGAAGGAGGAGGTGATCGACAAGATCATCGCGTACATCATCGAGCAGCGCGGCACGGCGGCAGCGACTATCAAGATCAAGAAGGAGACGGAGACCAAGAAGATGGAGACGACGGCCATGCCCGTGGGCCCGGCGATCTCAGCTCACTACACTCAGATGTGCCAGCACCCGGACTGCAAGCTACGCCGAGGCATCGCCAAGAACGAGCCGATCGTGAAGGTGAGGCCTACGGTTGGTGCCACCAGGCGTGTGCGGTCAAGACGAAGGCCTGAGTGAGGTTCAGGCCGAGAGGTCTCGGTGGCGCGGCGACGAGAGCAGGCCGCTGAAGGGCCACCAGCGCCAGGCGATACGGGCAGCTACACATACGACGAGGTCGGCCATTTTCGGAGCTATGTGCGCCCTCGCAACCTTCGGCCGCCTGACGATGGTCGAAGCGTGCACCCACGAGGACTCGAATCTCGGGAAGGTGTGCGACGAGAAGGGCTACCACTACGAGCGGCTCGGCCTCTTCAACGAGAACGACCTCAGCAAGCCGCAGGGCTACCACAAGGCGAAGTTCCTGCTAGACGAGAAGCGCCCGGAGCTCTTCGTCAGTACACCACCCTGCGGTCCATGGTCGATAATGCAGAACGTCAACCAGCGCAACGATCAACAGAAGGAGAACCTTCGCAGGAAGCGGCTCAAGAGCCAGCGGATCTTCGAGAACAACAAGAGGCTCATCGAGCACCAGGTGCTCAACCTGAACGGCTCGGCCCTCGCCGAGCAGCCCCACAACAGTCGGTCGTGGCAGAAGACCTGCTGGAAGGATCTCCACAAGATCCTACCGTACGAGGTGATCGTGGATGGCTGCGCCTGCGGACTACGAGCCCCTGACACGGGCGAGCTCATGAAGAAGCGCTGGAAGTTCCTGACGAATGACAGGAGGATCTGGGTAGCCCTACAACCTCTACAGTGCCGTGGAGGACACTACCACGAGGAGATAGAGAGCAGCTTGAGGACCGAGGCCTCGGGCTCCTACCCCAAGATGCTGTGCCGCCGGATCCTCAGGGCTCTGACCAAGAGCCAGAACCAGAACTACTTCGAGGACGAGGTTGTGAACTGCCTCTGCATGGCAGCTACCCAGCAGCCACCGACAGAGCCTACGCCAGAGGAGGACGAGCCGTCTCTTCCACCACAAGACGGCAAGGAAGCGCACAACCTCACCAACGAGACGGTCAAGAAGCTCGAGAGCTACATCAGATTGGTCCATACCAACCTCGGACACCTACCTCGAGCTCATCTACTACGATACCTTCGCGACCGTGGCGCTCGACCAGAGGTGCTACGTCTGGCCAGAACCTTCAAGTGCGACATCTGTGACGCACATCGACCACCTACTAAGCGGCCACCAGCCTCATCAGCAGAGCAGCCCCAAAACGGTCACGAGGTGCTTTTCGACGCTTTCTCGTGGATCCGTCGCAGCACGAACACGAACGTGATGGCGCTGGCGATACTCGACGCCGGCTCGGACATCCTCTACGTGCGGCTGATCGACGAGAAGCCGATCCCGGGTACGACTCGACAAGTTCGTGCCGGCGACCTTCGGCATATCTTTGCTACAAAATGGTTCCCCTGGATGGGACGCCCGAAGGTCATGCGCTACGACCCTGCCGGCAGCGCCATCTCCGACGAGTTCCGCGAGTGGATCGAGGGCCAGGGAGTCTACTGTCTCCCATGCGCGGCCGACGCCCACTGGCAGATCGGCAAGATCGAGCGCGCCATTGAAGCCTTCAAGGAGGCCCTCGACGCTTTCGACGAGATGGTCTCAGCCGAAGTACCCACCAGCGAGATGTTCGGACTCCAGACAGCGGCCAGGAACGACCTGATCAGGATCGACGGGTTCAGCCCGCTGCAGCGCTACGCGGGACGGACGCCGACTGGGACGACAGTCAACCTGTCGGACGAGCCGAACAACCTGCCGCTCATCAGTGCCGAGCTGCAGGACGGTACCTTCAGCAGGGACGCCCAGGTACGACGGATGGCGCGGCTGGCTCACATCCAGACCGAGAACTCTGACCGAGTTAAGCGAGCGGAGGCCGCGCGCTTCAGGTCCTTCAAGAAGTACGAGACGGGCGATCTGGTTTTCGTCTACAGGCGGCTCCCACCAGGGGCCTGGCGCAAGAAGGGACAGCCTCGCTCAATGCCTGGGCGAGGACGCTGGTACGGACCTGGACGAGTACTTTGTCACGAGCCAGCGAGCTCGGGACACCGACCTGGTCTACCTGGGACGGTGGTCAATATCACACTGGCTGGCCGCCTCTACCGAGTTGCCCCCGAACAACTTCGACCTGCCACGCCTTCTGAGGAGGCGATGGACTCCCTACGCTCGCGCCGCGAGCAGCCGGGGACCTGGACCTTCGGCGATGTCCAGAAGCAGCTCGACACTAACGAGGTGATCGACTTGTCGAACGAGTCCCCGCCCACTGGCGAGGATTTGGCCGCTGATGACGGTGAATCGGTCAGCGCCCGCACCTTCGAGAGCAACGCGAGCGGACCCTGGGCCATTTCTGAGGACGATGATCTTCCTGTTCCACAAGGAGACCCTCGTAGTCTTGACCCAGGAGGCGGCGGAGGTGGTGGAGCCTTGGCGGCGCCACCCGGACTGGAAGAGCGACCTCTACCTGGACCGCGACCTCCCAAGCGTATGCGGAAGAAGGGTAATCCCTGGAACGAGGCGACCGAGGTCCAGGAACCTCTCATCCAGCCAGCTCAGCCAGAAGTTCCACCAGGCATTCCACAGGAAGACGGCCACGAAGCTGGACTACCCGAAGAAGCTGAGCAGCCCATCGAGGAGGAGATCGTCATGGAAGCCCCTCCCGGCGACGACCAGGAGGAGCGCGCGTCGCAGCGGCCCATCGAGGTGGAGACTGACGATGACCTCGACGATATCTCGGCGCCCGACGTGAACGATAAGCGCCGGATCCGAGAGCCCGGCTCAACCGAGCCCCCGGCTAAGAAGCAGCGGGTCAACGCTGCGACCCAGGAGGCCTTCTCCTACTACCTGCAAGAGGGTAACTTCTACAGCGACTATGCCTACAGTGTCCAGCAGTACGACGATATGAAGGAGAACGACGAACTCATCGTGCTGGACATCCCTGTCAGCAACGAGCATGCGTTCATGGCCTACATGGACGACCCCAGCAACTTCGTGGCATCGCAGGCCCGCAAGGGCCGAGTGGAGGTCTCATTTAAGAAGGCGACGCCTGAGGAGAAGAAGCTGCTACTCGAGGCCCAGCAGAAGGAGTGCACCTCAGTCCTCAGCACGAAGGCCGTCAGGATCCTCAGCCGACAGGGGATCGACCCGGCGCGCCTGCTGCGCTGCCGCTTCGTGCTGACCTGGAAGAAGGATGACCAGGGGAACGTGCTACGAGGCAAAGCCAGACTGGTCGTGCTCGGCTTCAGCGACCCCGACCTGCTGCACCTGCGGACAGAATCACCAGTTGCCTCCAGACGTGCACGTCAACTTCTACTGGCCATGGCAGCTAGACACAAGTGGAAACTGGAGAAGGCCGATGCAGTGACAGCCTTTCTCCAGGGCGAGACGGACGAGGAGAAGAGGAAGATCTACGCGGACCCGCCTAAGGACGTGCGTCAGGCCTTCGGCATGAAAGACGACGAGGTCCTGCAGTTCCTCAAGCCTATGTACGGATTTGTACATGCTCCTCGCAAATGGTGGCTCCATTTCAAGGACACGCTCAAGACGCTGCAGCTGGAGGTGGTACAGTGCGAGCCGTGCGTCTGGGTCATTCGAGACGGCACGAAGCTGGTCGGCATGGTTATCCTACACGTCGATGACATGATGATCGCCGGCGACCATCACAACTCGGCCTTCCTCAAGAAACGACAGGAGATACAACAGGCCTTCGAGTGGACACCTTGGGAGAGCCGAGCGTTTGTGCAGTGCGGCATCAGTATTCGACAGAATGAGGACTACACCTGCAGTCTCGCACAGGACAGCTACAGCCTGAACGTGGAGCCCATCAAGATACGACGTGGACGCAAGCCCACGGAAGGAGTTTCAGACAAGGAGAGATCAGATCTACGAGGCCGACTTGGTACAGTCGGATGGCGAGCTCAGCAGTCGGCCCCGTGGCTCAGTGCAGAAGTCTCTCTACTTCAAGCGGAGATACCTACGGCGACGGTCTCTACCATCCAGAAGATCAACAAGCTGATCCGCACCATGAATGACACTGCCGACGTGGTCATGCTCATCCCGGCCATCGAGCAGATCGCTGTGGTTGGCTGGGGCGATGCTGCCTGGGCCGCTCGTATCACTGGCGAGTCCCAGGGTGGCGAGATGATCGTGCTGGCACCACTGTCTTTCCTGAGTGGCTCGACAGAGACGGTAGCGCCTATCTCATGGAGATCATGCAAACTACCGCGAGTGGCCAGAAGCAGTACGAGTGCGGAGGTTCAGATGATGACAGAGACCCTCGACGAGATCAGCTACGTGCGCCTGTTCATCTACGAGCTGGAGTGCGGCCAAGTGGACTACACCAACAAGCAGCACGTGAACGACGCCATCTCATCCTGCCCTGGCAAACTGGTCACAGACGGTAAGTCGGGCTACGACGCGATCGAGAAGAGCGAGTCAGCTGGTCTCGGCCTACGCGATAAGCGGACGAGCATCGAGTGTCTAGGCATTCGACAGCAGAAGGAGCAGACGGCCCTCCAGATACGCTGGGTCCACAGCGATGCCATGCTAGCCGACGGCCTCACCAAGGATCGAGCCGCCAAGGTCTTGCTGGAGTTCTTCAGGTCAGGTCAGCGCTGGAGACTCGTGGACGACCCCCTGCACCGCAGTGCTAGGAAGCGCAAGACCGAGGGCATGGACAAGCTGGACCACGGCAAGCCGTTATCAGCAGATGACGATGAAGCTATGCTGGAGGCCCTGATCTACTTCGCTCGCGACAATCCCTACGAGCAGGAGACCCCTGCCGGAGATATAGCCCTTTGGGGCACTGTGAAGCCTCTCACGCGCTCTGTGCTTTCTGTGAATTCAGTTGCCAGAGGCAGGTCTCGATGCCGTAACATCGATCTTTAGCTTTTGGGCATGCAATTCACAGCCCCGAGCCTGCCTCACTAGAGCCTACTTACGACAGATGGCCTCTAGAGGCCGTGCGTGATATAAGCTTCAGGCTCCAAAGGAGCCCCATGTATGTTAGCCAAGCGTTTCCCGGCGAATCGGGTCCCTTAAGACTCCAGGTTTCAGCAAGCCTTGCTTAGTAGGCACTCCGTTTCCCTAGCAACAAGTTGCAACAGATAATTCAAACAGAACAGGTTCATCCGAAACCGTTCTGGCTCAAGCCTTTGCAGCGTCTCAGCGACGCTGGACTTCTGGTGTGCGTCTGAGAGACGCAGGACAGCGAACTGCCCGCTGATAAACAGATCCTGTTCATCACCATAGTGCGATCAGCATCGCACAGTCACTGCCCTCATATTCGACCCGTCTTGCGACGAGTTCAACACCGCCAACGGTACCCTCGACACGTTGTCAGAGCAGAGAAGAGAGTAGCATCATTCAGGATTGCTATCAGGGCAGTGGTTCTAAGCGGGACCATTGCACCCTGGGGGAGGGGTCAGGACCCACTGGGGCTGCGGATGGAAAAAAAACATCTCGGCAAAGGTCTGGGAAAACTGCACTGACACACACTCTGGGAACTCCGTGCAGCTTTCTGGGCTCTCTGGCCGCCAGAGAGCCCAGAAAGCCGCACTGAAAAGGCGCCTCAGGCGCCGCCCCACAGCCCTCCCCAGACCGCTGGCGGCGCCTCAGGCGCCGCCCCTGGCGCGCTCCGCGCGCGCCAGGGAAGGGGGGGTGCAACGCCGATCCGAGAGCTCCGCGCGGATCTCCGAGAAAATTCCCCAATCAGCGCTTGCACTGAAGGGGTCTTCGCGGATGTTGAAGGATTTGGCGAAAGATCCCCGCCGATTTTGGTCGCACGCTGGGTTCCCGGGTTCCCGGGTTCCTGGTTCCGGGTTCCCGAGTTCCGGGCCGATTTCGGAGGGCGGCGAGGTTCCCGGGTTCCTGGGTTCCTGGTCGATCTTCTTATCGATCAGTCTCACCATCGATCTCACTACCGACTTCTCGATCGATCTCACCATCGATCTCACAATCGATATCACTATCAATATCACAAGCGATCTCACTAGAGATCGCATGAGCGATCTCGCGATCGATCTCACGATTGATCTCATTGAATCGATTTCACTCTCGGTCTCACGATCGACCTTACAATCGTCCTCACTATCGATTCCACTATCGATCTCATGATCGATCTCAAGATCCATAGTATCGATGTTCAAATCATCCACTGATTGGGGTATTCTCAGGTGTAATCTATTCCTGTGCCGTTCTGTTCCTCCTCGAGCTGGAAGGTGCCGTCGCGCACGAGCAGCTGCGCCATCGGGGAAAGCCTGGGCGAGAAGGTACAGTCCGCGTCGACGTCGGCGTCCCGCCTCGCCCTGCAGCCCATGCGGTCCCTGCGCACGTGCTGGGGCTGGAGGCGGCTGTGCCACTGGGCGCCCGAATGCAGCATCGTGGCGTGCATCTGGCGGGTGCCCTTGCACACCTGGGGCCGGAAGGTGCACTCGCTCTCCTCCTGTGAGCGGCGAGCGAAGGGGGGAAGCGAGAAGGAGAAGGCCTTCTCGGAAGGCGGCGGGGCTTCTCAGGAGGCCTCCGGCCTTCTGGGAGGTGAGTTCTGTCTTCGGGAAAGGCTCAGAAAACTTCTCAGGTGGCTGGAGAACTTCCGAGCCTTCTGAGAGGGCCCGCCCCTTCTCACTTCCCCCCCTCGCCCGCCGCCGATCCTTAGCCCTCGCCTCCTCGATGCGTCGCCTCGCACGCTCCGCCATCGGGGGCGGGCCAGACTTGTAGCTGGTCGCGAGGAACTTCGACTTCTCGGTGATCTTCGGGTTCCTGAGCGTGCTCAGCTCTGTTACCAACTTTGACGGGCGCGCAACACACACCCATACCCATAGGGGGACGGAGGGTGCGATGGGTGCGTGCTGTCGGACGGGGGTCCTCGTTCGAACGGGAGCATCCAACCCGCACCTATCCCCACAGCCTTTCCTCTTCCCTCCGACCCCCCCTACGAGTATGGGTGTACAGTCGAAATCCATAGTAAGGACGGGGGGTACGGACGAAAGGGTCTTAGACGCCGAAGTTGGCACTTTTTGGGCGGCGGACTGCCAACACCCTGAAGGGCTGGCCAGTGAAAACCGCGAAGGACGGGCCGTAGAGGCAAGGACGCAAGGGTACGCTGAGGACATCCGTGCGTCCTTACTATAAGCTTTGGCTGCATGTGTGTTGCTCGTTCGTGAACCTTCTCCTTCGCGCGCTGCTTGTTTTTCTCCTCCTTCTTCTGGTGCCACGCCAGGGCCCTCTCGTACGTCTGAGCCTCGGAGGCCTTCACGGTCAGCCCCTCGGGGGGGGCCGGCAGCGTGCGCTCGGGCGGCCCGAACAGGGAGTGGCCCTGGACGTCCTCGAGAAGACCAGAGAGCTACACAAGCAAGCATACCCATCGGTCGGAAGAAAAGGGTAGAAACATGAAGCAAGAGAGCGTTGAAAATGGATTGGGTTCCGTCCGCCCCCTCGGGATGGCGGAAAACGTGAAGCCACTCGATCGTTATAGTAGGAAGGCGCCTAAAGTAGGTGAGGATATAGGAATCCAAAAATACCATCTACTTTCAACGACCGATGGGTAAACGTTACGAGGTCCGTGCGGGCTTCGGCGACTCCGAAGGGTGTGATTTGCAAGTAGGCTTCGCTTCATTCATGGGGGGCAGGGGCGAGAACTGGAGGGGGAAGACAGGTGCACTTTTCGGGCCCTAGGAAGCCCCCGTTCTGGGCCCGAGAGGGCCACTTCGGTGGGCCTACCGGGCCCCTGTTCTGCAGCCCACGCTGTCCCCCCCCTTTGTGTCGCCCCCCCCCATGACATGACGCGACGCCCAAGTCAAAGGGTGTGGTTTGCAGCTAGCACGCTGGGGGGCACCCTGCGGGGCGGGCGGGTAAAAAGTTCTCCGCCGCGCCCCGAGGAGGCCCGACGAGGACAGTGTCGTGCCCCCCCAGGCCCCACCGGCGCCGATCGCAAGCCACACCCACGCGGAACCACACCCTGTTGCTGGCAAGACTTGTGTCCATATCCACCGCAGCTTGGAATGTCGGGCTCCCCTCCCCGGAAACCCGAGGCGCCCCGGACATGGATAAGAAGCTGGCCCCAGAGGCTCGATTTTTATCCATATCCAATGCGCCTCGGCCTTGCGGCACTACTTCCATGAAAGCCCAAGGCTCACTGGGTACGGATATACATCTTGCCCGCATGTGTAGTCGCCGATCTACAGTCAAAACCGGTAGTAAGGATGCGCGATGAGGATGCAAGCCCCTTGGATGCCCGTGTTGAAGCTTTCGAGCGCGGCGGGCCATCGACAGAAGTCAAGGATGGACCGATGAGGCAAGGATGCAGGGCTATTCTTGGGAAGGTAGCCCATTCTTACTTGGTGGCGCGCAAAAGGGCGAAGGGGCAGGGGGGAAGGCGTCTTGGAAGGAGGCTGCTTTCTCAGAAGGCGCCGGCCTCACAACTACTGAGAAGGCCCGCGCGTCTTCAGAAGCAGAGGTGTTTCTAAGAAGCCTTCCCCCCCCCTACAACCCTCCTCGAAATCAAACACAAGCTGTTAATGTTGATTGACGCGCGAAACGCGGCCCGCGGGGTCAATCAAATGTTTGTGCCTGCAGTCGCCAGTTCCGGTGCGAACACTGACAAAGTTTGGGGTCCTCGGGCGGGAAAAACGTACGTTTGATTTCGAGGGGGGATGTACCCTCAAAGCGGGCATGTCCTCCTACAGGCGGATGTTGGAAGAAGCATGATAATAGCCAAACAATTCCCAAACATAGTCACCAAAGAGCATAGTCACCAAAGAGCAACGGTGTTACATTATCGCATGTTCCTCCTGTAGGGGGACGTGCCCGACTTCAGAATGTAGCCCCCCTTCTGCGCGTGGCTGATGGCTATCGATTTGGACTGCAGCCTCCGAGGGCTTCTTTGAAGGCCTCCTATTATGGGGTCCGAGCACATGGGGTCGAAGTATCTCGCCGCATCGTTGACACATCGGCGATGCCATCGGCGATGCCTCGGTGCTGCACTGGCGACGTCGGCGGTGCCTCGGCGACGTCGGCGTGGAGAAATTCGGTCCCACATCGAACCGCGTCGCCGATGCATCGGCGATGCGGCGCGATCCTCCGACCCCAGCTAGGAGGCCTAGACATCGGGGGCGGCCAAGAGGGGGGCGTCCAAGAGGGGGGGGCGCAAATCATGGCCCGCGGCGTGTGCGCCGCCCAGGGGGGAGGCCCGGCCATGAAATCTGGGGAAGCATCATGACCCCCGCCATGCATGATATCCCCCCCCCTAGTCTTAGGTCGGGCATGTCCCCCTACAGGCGGATTTGGGCGAAAGCTTCGAAATACTCAAGAAAGACCCCCCAAATGGTACAAGCATGGCCAGAACAAATCGCTCCCTGCCAAATGTTTTTATCTATCTTTGAGTACTCCTGCTGTAGAGGGACAGGCCCGACTTGACCCTAGTCTTTTGGATGCCATGACAATGGACACTCTAACAATTCTATCGTTGTGTTTAAAATGTATAAAGCATGCTCTAAACTGTTTCACATATGCTTTTAGCAGATCTAGAACAGGTTTGGAACATAGTTTAGACATCTGGGAACTATTTGGCAGCACACTTCCTCTCCATTAACCGACTTCTACAACCCCAATCCTCACCCCCCTCTTGCCTGGCCCGCCCCCCGAAAAGTTCAGCAGGGACCGACCGGCCTGGCAGTTCCATAGTCCTACCACGACATGTTCGTAGTACCCCAACAAGTGTTCTCAGACCAAAAACAATGTTCTTAGAACATAGACCCGAGGTGTTCAAACAAGACAATCTCAACAAGAAATGCTCTAGGAACATTTCGTGGAAACCACAGACGGTTCTCAGAACATCGCTTGGTAGGGCTCTGGGCGAGCCAGGACGCTTCGCCACTGCTTGAGGAAGGCAGCCCCCGCGCGGGCTGCTCGGGCCGGCGCCGGGCCCGGCGCCCCACCCGAGAGCGCGCGCTCCGCGCGCCCGCCCGCCGAAGCGCGCGCTTCGGCGCGCGCTTCGGGGGCGGCGCCGCGGGCGGCGCGCGGAGCCACCTCGGCGCGGGGCCCGAGGCCTCCGTGAGCCCAAGCGCCCCAAGCCGCCCCCACATTGCTCCAAGACGCCCAAGACGGCTTCAGGATGGCCGACGCGGCCTCTAAGACGCCAGGAGAAGCCTCCAAGAGGCCCTCCACGAGGGCCCCAGCTCCCCGAGCCGAGTCCGACCGTGGCGACGCTGGCAAACAACGGCAGGCCGAAAAACGCAACGGCTCCTCATCTTGGCCATCTCGGCGCGGGCCTCGCCATCACTCGCACGTCCATTCCAGGTGCATGTTTCGGTGTCGTGCGTGCTTTCGTTCCGCAGGGTGAGCAAAATGCTCATCGACGGTCCTCGCTGAGCAAAGAATGCACACGCTCGAGCGATGCCCAAGGTGCAGGCCTTGGGTGAAGGGGCCCCAGGACACACAAATAAATACACACAAATAAAAATAGTCCCCATATTTTCCCATATTTTCTGGGTTTCTGTCTTCCCCCCCACTTCCCATATTTTCCAATATTTTCCTGGGAATCGACGATGAATTGTGTCTGTGTGTTTTTGTTCCCCTCCTGATTGGGGGCGCCCACGTGGTGGGGAGCCGTGCTGCCCGGGTGCTGCGCGCAGCCGGCCCCGGCCCCGCCGCCGGGCGCCTCCCCTCGACGCAGCACGCGCCTCCGCGCCAGGAAGACCATTCTGGCCATCGCTCGGGCGTCCATCCCCTGTGCTTTTTGTCCGGTGTCGTGCGTGGTTTTGTTCGCCGAATGGTCAAGGATGCTCCTCGATGGTCCTCGCCGAAGGGAAACTGCACACGTCCGAGCGATGCCAAGCCATCGGCGTGAACCGACCGGACCACCCCTGCCCATCCCAGAACCCCCCATTCCGGGTTGACGGGGGGGGGGTGCGGGTTCCGCACGTGTTTGCTCAGCGTCCCCCGACCTCCCCCCCCCCCTCTCTGGAGATGAGGGGCAAATGGAGGCCTTCGGGCTGGGTTGGGGTGGTTTGGTGGGTGGTGACACGCGGGGTCCGAGCGGAGCGGGTGTTTTCATTCGCGGCCCGAACGGGCGCTATTTAAAAAAAGGGAAGGGATGGGGGCGTGGGGGGTGGGGGGGCCAGAAGGTAGCGCCCCCCCGCCCGCAGGACTGTGGTGCCAGACGCACTGCGGCGGTGCCGGGGACGCACTGGGTGGGGGAGCGTCACGTTATGTGGGGCCGGGCAAACATGGATTAGCGATCCATGGATTAGGCGCGCGGTCGCCTAATCCATGGATCGAGGGAGGTGCCCTCCCCAGAATGCGGCCGGTGCCGCCTCGCTCGGCGGCGAAACTCCGCGATGTCCCATGGGAACGGGACCCGTTGCTAATCCACGCTCCCTTAATACATGTTTGCGATCGCCTGATCGTGACGGGGGGGGGAGTAGGGGGCATAGCGCGCGTCATGGCCCAAGGGTCACGAAATCGCAAAAACACCGTTTAGGTCCAGCCTTATGTCCGGAGTGTCCCCCTACAGGGGGATTTTCGATGGAAAAAAAACCCAAGAAGGTCAAAAAATACTCAAAAAATAGTCCCCCGACTATTTTTTGACTATGTTTTGATTATGTGTGGGGTATTGTTTATTTTTCGTCCAAATCCCCCTGTAGGGGGACAGGCCCGACTTAAGTCCAGCCCTGGATTGAAAAACGTCCTGTAGTAGACAGCCCGCAGAGGGCGTGCGCGCGCAGCCACGCGCGCGAACACGGCAACCCCAGCCCGTGAGGCCACAGCCGCGCAGCGCGAGGCGATCGCGCAGGGCGCGCTTTCGAGACCAGCGTGGGTTCATGCAGGTGCACGCTTTAAGTCGGGCGTGTCCCCCCTACAGGTGGGTTGTGGACGAGAGATACACAAAGACCCCAAAAATAACCCCAGAGAGCCAACAAATAGAGTCGAAAGAATCGCCCCCCGAGTGTTTTGTTTACTATGTTTGAGCATTCCTCCTGTAGAAGGACACGCCCGGCCGAAGTGTACGCCCTTCATTCGCTCCTGAAGTTAGGATGCGCGATCAGGATGCAATCGGGGCGCAGAAGGACATAGTAAAACTGTGCGTCCTACTCGGAGGCGTGCGTCCGACCCGAACATTTAGGACACCACGGAGCTTGTACTGTAAGATCTCTTAGCGCGCGCGTCCCCCTTGGGGTGCAGACTCACACATAGTGTTAGCATGTTTGGGTGATGCCGATGCACGGGCCTTGGACGCCCATGCCGACACTTTTCGAGCGGAACTGGCCATCGAAAGTGGTTGAGGGTGGAACGAAGTTGACAGAAGAGGCAAAAATGCAATGGTACCCTTGGGAAGTCGCTCATCCTTACTATCGGTTTCGACTGTAGATGGGGTCGGAGGATCGTGCCGCATCGCAGATGCATCGGCGATGCATCCGCGACGTCGGCGATGTATCGGCGGCATCGGCGCGGAGAAAATCGGTCTCCACGTCGATCCGTTGCGGTGCAATCCTCCGACCCCGTCTATTCAGACGCCTTTTGCGAGGCCCGCAATCTCAGCACGGACTTCAGAAGACTGGCACCTGTGCTATTTTTTGCCCTTGGTCCTTGGAAGGCATCTTGTGCTTCACCCACTCCTCCGCAAGCTGGCGCGGTGCTTGTTGCCTCAGCGACGACGACGACGACGACGACGACAACGCTGGCGTTAGGAAGGGCCTGTCCCCCTACAGGGGGATTTTGGGCGAAAAATCAACAATACTCAAAAAATACTCCCCAAATGACCGAAAATAGTCAAAAAGTCGTTCCCATACTATTTTTTGACTATTTTTGAATATTCCTCCTGTAGAGGCACAGGCCCGACTTAACGCTGGCGGCAGGCGACGACGGCGGCAGCAAAAATGGCAGCCGTTCGAGGGACGAGAAATTGCATGATCGCAAACTTTCGGAGGTCAGCGCGGATCGGCGCTTGATCCCCCTCCCTCGACTACGCGCAAGAGTATAACCCTGGGTAAGAGTGACCCTTGGAGCGCGGCTGGGGGGCCGCGGGGGGACCAAACACGAGCGCGCAAGACGCTACTACCGCATCGCGTTCGGCGATCGGGGGACCCCATTGGGCCCGCACCAAAGGTCACTCCGGCGAAAGGTCACTCTTACGTTTAGTCGACGGGGCGGTGCTGAAGACGACGCCAGGGGGGGCCAGCGCCAACGCCGGAGAAGGTAGCGCGGACCCTCGGACATTACCAAAACCAGTGCTGGCACGTGTCCGCCGTCGCCAGCCCCGTATCCGCCTCGTCGCCGCCCGTCGTCTGGGCCAGTGTGCCGGTCTGGCGGTTACGTGCATGCCGTCGCCGCCCCGTCGCCGCCCGTCGTCTAGGCCGACGTGCTGGTCGGTCCAGAGGCTATGTCCCTTCCGTCGCAGCCCGTCGCCAGCTCGTCGCCGTCGTTAGTGGTTTGTCTTGCTTTGCCTTTCTTTGCATTGCGTTGTTTTGATTTGCATTTCACCACTCTGATGTGAATGGCGTTGCAAAGCGTTGCCTTATCTTGATATGCAGTCAATTGTGTTGCGTTGCTTTGCGTTGCCCTGCAGCGTTTTGATTTGCATTGCGTCACTTCGCTTTGCTTTGAATTGCCCTTCTTGCATATCGAGGTTCTTCCTTCTTTTCTAATGAACTGGGCCAATGCGTCGGTCTGGCGGCTAGATTGTCGCCGTCGCCGCCCCGTCGCCGCCCCTCGCCGGCCATCGTCTGGGCCTGTGCATCGATCTGGCGGCTTTGTTGTCGCCGTCGCCGCCCCGTCGCCGCCGTCGCCGCCGTTAGCTTGCACCACGTAGATTGCTTTGCATTGCCTCGCATAGCTGTGCAAAGCGTTGCGTTGTTTGCCTTGCTTGGCATTGCTATGCATTGTTTCGCTGTGCTTTGCAATGCTTCGCACTTCCCTGCGTTGATGTGCATTGCGTTGCTTCGTTTGTTTTGAAATGATTTGCGTCGCATTGCTGTGCATTGCGGTGGTTTGCCTTACGTCGTGTTGTTTTGCATGGTTTTGCATGGTGTTGACTTGATTTGGTCTGCACTGCCTTCTATTGATGTGTTCCCGCTGCATCACCTACATTGCGCCAAAATCTACACCACGAATATTGCACAACATAGATTGCACCACATACGCATCAAAATGTATGTTATGATATGTTTTGTTTTGAAAAATGTGCGCCAGCAATGTATTGCCATATCCAGTGCTGGCGGGGATTTCACCTGACAACTCCTCGAGCGGCAAGGCTGGCTGCCGCCATGGCCTGAGTGCGTGAAAGGACCGGAACTTTTAGGGCCAAGCGCTAGCAAAGACGCGGCCAAGCAGGAACCATCTGCCCCTTGCCCCAAAAAAAACGCGATCCACCTGCAGGGCCGCCCAACGACCCTGAACGCCAGACCAAAACGCGAGTTTTTACAAAGGCCCCCCCAGACAGCCAGCAGTGGATATGGATGAAAACGAAGGAAAAACCAAGAGAGAAATATCCACATCCAGTACTGAGACAAGAAAATATCACAGGCGACTGGGGCCTGCGATACTTGGCAACGCCAAACCGACTTGGAATCGCCAACCAACTGGAATCGCTTGAATCGACGCCCCGACCTGGGGGCAGCACAGCACCGCGCCCGACCTGGGGGCAGCACAGCACCGCGCCCCCCGAATGATGTGACACGATGGCGTTTTGGAACACGTAGGGACGACAATTTGAACCGGATCAGGAAAACAGAAACCCAACTCCGAAAACAAGTCGTCAGCTGGTGTAGGTGTCATACATGTATATATATACACATATATATACACTTGCGGTGCAAAATGCACGCTGCATTTTCCGATCCCCCTTCAAAAACAAAACGCGCGCGCAATTGCTGGCACTTGTGGAAACCGTTGGTTTTCCAACATATCCGTCGCAAGTGATCACGCGGCCCTGTCGCGCCGCATGTCGGGAACATTCGAGAGCCTTTTGCGCGCTTCCTGCGGTGGAGGATCCCAATCTAATAATACCACGCGGGCCACTCGCGCGCGATGGCCGCGCGCACCTTCATCAACGGCACGTAAACACCATCATCGTCATCGGCGTGGCCAAAATCGGCGCCATTGGCTGCACCGTCGCCACAGGCCATCGTCGCCACCGTCGTCGCTACCATTATCACCGTGCCCGCCGTTGTCGACGTCACCATGATACCGCGCCCGCCCGAACCACCGACTCGCACTGACGCGCCCGCGCGCCAACGCGGCCTGCGAGACGCGCTGGAAAGCCCCCAACGGTCAGCGCCGCCGCGGCCGCGTGTTTCGCGACAAGTTCGTTGGCCCTTTTGCGCGCGAGCTTGCGCGCGCCAGCGCGGCCGCACCGACGCGCCAAACAGCGCCAAACAGTCATCGCAATCGCCGCCGCATGAGTTTTGCAAACCAAGTTGCGGGTGGGATGTGTGCGCGAACGCGGAGCTGCCAACTCAAAGATATTCAATCGTTGAGTATCCTCTCGAGCAGGACACCGGGATCTACCACCCATCCCCCTTTGGTCTCGTCGACCCCCCTGGGGTGAGCAATTTACATGATTGTACCCCGTCGCTCGTTTTAACAATGAGCCCATACCGTCCCAGGCAGGCCGTTATCACCCCCCCATCGCCCACTTCAAATATTACGATACGCGCGCACCCGTTGATCACAACCCATCGGTTACCAACAACCCCTTGCAACAGGCATGGGCGAAGTCGACACGCGCGCGTCGTCGCGCGCGGGTGACGGACGCCATCCAATACCTGAGACGTAAGACGCCGTGCGGATTTCAAGATCGGAGTTCTCAACACATATGACAGCAACGCATGGTTCTGCAACCTGGTAAAACAACTGCGCGCTTTTGCGAGGTCATACGAAAACAGTTTGACGTCCAACATGTTCATCACATGCGACCAAGCGGGCCTCTCGCGCGCAAATGTCGACGCCATTCGGGCGCCCTTGTGCGCTTCCCTGGGGGGGGGCACGAGCCGCGTCAAACAATAACGCGCGGGCCACTCACGCGCGATGGCCGCGCGCATGTCAAAATCTGCCCAACACCCTCATCACCGACACATGGACACCATCATCGACATCGGCGTGACCAGTATCGTGTTATTGGCCTTGCCATCGCCACCGTCATCATCGCCACAATCTTCGCTACTAATATCAGCACGCCTGCTGTTGTCGACGACACCATGATCCCGCGCCCGCCCGCGCCACCAACTCGCACCGAAGTGCCCGCGCGTCAGCGCGACCTGCGCGACGCGTTGAGAAGTCCCCAGCGGTCAGCGCCGCCGCCGCGTCTTTCGCGCCAAGCTAGCTGGTCGATCGTCGCGCGGGCCCGCACGCGCCAGCGCGACCGCACCGACGCGCCAACCAGCGCCGAGCAAGCATCGGAATTGCCGCCGCGTGGGTGCTGCAAGCCAACTTGGGTGGGTGCGTGGGATGGTTGCGCGAGCAGTGGAGTTGACAACCCCAAGTTCTGCAAATGAATTGCACCACGTAATTTGCACTACATTTGCCACATCGGTTGCCTTACATATCCGCCAACGTCCCGTCAGCACGTAGCGGAGTGCCACAAGGCTCGAGCAGCCCTGAGAGGTGCAAGCTTTGTCGAGTCCGTAAGGTCCAGCTGGGGTGGGTCACGTGGGCCTTCGGGACGGCCCCCTCGCCCAGGAGGGCTCCCAAACTGTCCAACGCAGCCCAAGGAAGCCGCCCACACGGTCAAAGAGAGCCCCGACTCGCCGAAGGACCGCTCCAAGACGCCCAAGATGGCCGCCAAACTGCCGAAGAAGAAGCCACCAAGACGCCCCCAGAGGCATCCAAGGGGCCTCCCAAGAGTTCCCCCAGAGGTAAACATCAATGATGTTCCTTTGGCTGTCAAGCGACACGTGTTTGCTTTCTCGCCTGTTCGCCTCTCCGACGCTCCAACACGGTTCAGGAGGCCCCCAAGATCGCCAAGAGGCCCCCAACAGGGCTCCAAAATAGCCTCAGGCGGCCCCAAGACGGCACACGAGGGCTTCAAGACGGCCCGAGAGGCCGCCAAGACTGCCCTAAGAGGGGACCCAACGAGGCCTGCAAGAGGCCCCAAAGAGTCCGCAAGAGGCACCAAAGAGGCTTCCAGGAGGAGTCAAGAGGCCCCAAGGAGGCTCCCAAGAGGCCCCCAAGAGGCCCCCTAGAGGCCCCGAGATGTCCCCAAGAGGTCTGAGAGCGCTCCGAAGAGGCCGCAAGAAGCATCCCTGAGAACTCGAACCCACAATCCAGGCACGGTGGCGGGATGGGCCGACGGCCCTGCACCACGCATCGCCTGCACCACGTAGCTTACCCCACACAGAAGGCACCACATATACGACACCAGACGTACATAGTGTGTATGTATACAAATACATACTCGCAAGCATATATGATATGTATAGATAGAGATCATATAACATATATATATATGTATATATATGTATGATACATATCTGCGTATATACATTTGTATCTAGGTGTATGTGCAAATGTGTGTGCATGTATCTGTTTATGTATACACACATTGGCGACAAACAATAGTGACCCTAAGCAAGAGTGACCGTTGGTGCGCGGAGGAAGGGGGCGCAACATGGCAGCATCCCAGCGCACAACCAGCCGCTCCCGCATCG